AGTTCCAAGCCAAGAAATGCTGCAACTCCAGAAGCCCAAAGCTAGAAGAACAGGTTGTCTCCTTGTAGACGTAGAAAGAGCAAGCACAGCCTCTTCACTCGACAGCTTTATTTTGTTCAAGAATAGGAATTTTAGGATTTTGAATTACAGAACTATGAGAGAGTAAACCTGTGTTGTTTGTGCTAGCTTTCTACACTATTCATAAACATCAAGTAGAATGACTTTAATGACAGACACAGATAAAAATACTACCAGTTTTAGTGAAATGAGTGTGTGATTGAGACGTGGGGAAGAAAAACAGAGTACAGGAGTATGGCCTAAGTCTGGTAGTCTGAGTTATATGAAACTACTTTGAAAGTCTAAACTGATCTCATAGCAGAAGTAAGAGTTTCCTAAGCAAGCATGAGAAATTGCAGAATTAAAACCAAATCTGGTTAGTTTAATACTACAAACTACATTTTCCATGTTTATTGTAAATAACAAAAAGTTTAAGACCTAAGCCATATTTATTGATTTCTAAACTTTGACTAGTCATATTCATCAATAGTATAAACTGTTTGTTTGAAAAGTAACATTACATATGGTAAAAGAATATTCCAGTTTTACCCCAGAAACGACCATCATTTTACGTTGTTGACAGTTTCCTAGGTTATTAGAGAAGCAGCTTCACAGGAATGTCAAGTGAGCTTCTCAAAGGCACCATATTTTAATCAGTCAAAGGAATTAAGACTTTTTTTCTGTCTATGAACGTCACTAAATCCTGAAATCCTAATAAAATTTTGGCAGTGGTGCTAATAAAAATATTTCTCACTTCTCCTTTTATTCACTGAGAATTTTTAACAAAGTGAACAGTAGGAAGAAGTCACTTTCCTGTGTTCTTTTATCAAAGTAGTAGCAAAGATAAGTGGAGAAACCTGATGTACTGCATCCGTCATGTCACACAGCACTCCAGTGAGATGTGAAACATGTGTCTTGAGTGTGAATTTGAGCAAATCAGAGGGTAGGTGAGAAAGGACACTAGAAGAAAAAATGAAGATGGACTATGATGTGAAGGCTCTAGTGGTTTGGCTGTGAAAACAAAGAGGAAAAGACAAATAAATTATGTAAAGGACAATTAGATTTCATCCAGTGATAATGAAGAAAGTAAAAAGACAGCTGTTGATTTTCTCTCTGTACCAAGAGCCAAGCAACAGAGTCAGCTGATCAATAAATCTGCAAAGCTCATTCCCACATCATAGCATTAGATGTTATCCAACTTTTCAATTTTGTAGGGAAAGAAGCCAAATACTTCCTAGTATTTCCCAAACTACTAGAAAATAAACATTGAAAGTGATGTTTTATCCATATGAACCAGTGTCCTGTGGAAGCCCAACACTTGCTCTCTTTCTGAAAATGCCCAGCTCACCTGAGAGCCTTGGAGCACTCAAGACCATCCCAGGCGTCCCTGGCTAACAGCCCAAACCTTTAGTAAATTAAGCTGTGTCTACATCCCCGTTACACACGGGTTTGCAAGCTCAGCCCATCAGGGAGGCCTCCCTTCATGTTTTATTCTGGCAGAGGGTTTTCAGGGATAATTGCTTCCATCACAGGCTAAATAAGTTGGCTATTAATGCAAATGAACGTAGAACTGCAAAGGAGATTATAATTCATGTAGACAGATGGCAATTTCCTGCTTGCTTCTGTGTTTGCTTGCTTGCTTTTATGAACTGTCTAAGAGAACTCTCTTATTGATAAAACTCTGTAAATGTTTTATTTATATGCACAGCAATTTTGCTAGTGCAGGGTGAGAATTTACTCCTCTCGTTTCCCTCTCAGCATCCTTCCCTTTTTTCCCCTGGAATATATCACTTGGGCTTTCTAAAAAAATAATAAATAAATAAGTAGGAGAATGTTCTCATATACTCACCTGTAGGAAAAACCTACATGCTGATATTTGCTTGTAGAAAGAATTACTTTTAGTATTTTACAGTTTCTACTACTCATACAAGAATCCTATAAATTCTAAAACATATTCCTAGTATACTTTAGGAAGAAAACATATGCTAATATTTACTTATAGAAAGATGTACTTAAATATTTTTAAAATCTTTACTTCTCGTTTTATTGTAAAATAAGATTCCTATAACTATCCTAAGATACACTTTAACTTTTAGTTTCGAAATTATGTGTCCAAGTATTTTGTAACTTTTTATTTAAAGAGCTGGATAGTTTTATTAGTTTTCTAAGTTCTTTAATAAGATGTACCATAGGCTATTTTAATTTTTTAATGAGTTAACTTGTCTCTATCTTAATTCAACCTATACCACCCTAAGCCCAAAAACTTAAATCATTCTTAAACTACTTACTCTGCAGAGCTCCACTAGACAAAAATTACTTCTAACTTCACCATTCAGGCTATAACAAAACTAATATACTTTATACCAGCTTAATCAGCTAATATACCAGTGTCGAATTTACAGAAATAACAATTGAGCTTCAGCAACTGTTTAAATTCATTTCGTGTTTGTTTCTTTGGAGAGGTTGGAGGTCTAGGTCCCTGATAGAATGCTTACCTAGAAAATGCAAAGCCCTGGGTTTGGTCTTCAGCCCATAAATAAAATTTTTCAGTAAAGATACAGGGAAAAATAAAATGCATACATCAATATCTTTCTTAATACATCAGATGAAATTGACTTTTGCAATAATCATGAATGTTAGTATCTGGAAGTGGAAAATCCAGTATATATTTAGAAGGGCAAACATTTCCTTGAATTCCATGTGCTGATGCCAGTGTCCTACGCCTGTGAGTGCCTTTGTTTCTTCCAAAGATGGAATCGGGGGTTAGGGTTGTGGCCTTTTGTTTTGGATAGTCATCTTAAGGGTGCAGGATATGTTGATTTTTGAAGACTGGGTCTTACCCTGTAACCTAGGCTTCATAGAATTTACTGTGTCATTTTGCCTGCCTCAGATTCACTGAAATCCTCCTGCCTCAGGCTTTCAAGTGCTAAGATTAAAGGCATGAACCATCATATCCTGGTGAAAGTATTTTGATAGAGTCAGTTTATTTGTTGTTCCCTGTGGGATGACTCATCCCTAACAGGCTTGTGGGCCATCCCGCCCAAACAAGTAAAAAAGATACTTTCTGAGAGCCAGCCTGGGTCTGCCTGATGATCTTAGCAACAGCAGCTGAAACGATCTGGAGATGACCTGGACCAATGAGAGGCAGCCATGTCACACCAGTAGATGCATATTCACCAGACCTCCCCCCAGGGTGGGGTAGAGGGTATATAAGGCTTTCCTCTTCCTGAATAACTGAGCTTGTTGTTTCTACATTCTCCTGGAGTCTGTGTGGTTTGACTCTGTGCCTTCTTGGCCCCTGCCCCCAAAGGGAACAACACCAAGGACCCTGCTACAGTTACCATCTAAATTTAACAGAAAAAAAAAAGGTCTGTTCCATAGAAGCAGCATAAAAATAATTTACAGATAGAATTATTGAAGACTCGTAGATTGATGGCCATTACAGCTGATCTTGTAGGAGCGGCCTTCCCCCACCACTTGCTGCTTTCATAGGTGAAGTGGGGACCCTTCAAGTGATTCTTTTAAGAAGATACTACGCAAATAACATAGTTGAGAGCCACCTTCTTTAGCTCGTTGATGTTTCCTGGTCTTTCTGTTGTAAGCTGCAGTCAGCCTCCTACAGTGACTCTGGATCTATGGTTTCAGGAGCTGTGGCCTCCCTTATTGTCAGTTTGATTCTTTTATTCCTACAAGCTGTTCTCTGAAGCGTCCATTGTATGTGTTCTCTGTATTAGACCTTGTCTCCCTTCCTGAGGTCTTTATAACAAGCCATTTCACAAGGAAAAGTCTGGATAGGGAAGTCCACTTACGATCTGTATATTATATTGTCATCACAATTTCCACTCTTTCCTTATGGACTGGAGCATAGTGCTCTCCTTGATGTTCTGCTGTGACAGTTGTAATTTTGTGACTATGTAACATGACTTTTTATTTCTGTGGATAACAGTGCTTTTGCTGTTCTACAACTAGTTCTTATCAGTAAGGAGCTTTTAGTCTGATTTTTAAACTGTGAAAAGTAATAGAAAGCCTAAAGATGCTTATTTAGTGTCCCTGGTAATCTGACAGTAATAACAACCCTTCCCCTTTTAAATTGCTTTTCTCCATTTCCAGGGAGTTGATGAGGAACCCCTACTGCTGTTTCATGGGAATGGTCTTCACAATTAACAATATGCTGTTTTTGATGTCAGCAGATTCTTAAAATCATTGGTGGCATAAATCTGCATGTTAATCAGGAATAAGCTCATTATGGGTATCAAATTGTTTGAAAATGCTCTTGTTTGCTTTGTTTATCAAGATATAATTAATACAAAGTGGAGCCTGTGCTTCTTAAGTGTGCGGTTTTATGAGCTGTGGCACCTTAGCAGACAGGGGAATTTCCATCACCATTTGCCACCTGCTCTTTTGGAGTCAGTCAGTCCTGCCTGATCCACAGCCCTGGCAACCACTGGCCTGACTTCATGACAGTACTTCTGCCTTCTCCAGAATGCTACATAGAAGCATAAATTCGTAGTCCTCCTCAGTGTGACTTCTTTTGTGTAGTGTAGTCCCTTTGGAGTCATTCCAGAGGGAATTGTATCAGCATTTCATTGTTAACAAGAACTCCATGTGAACATGCTGTATTCATTTATGCATTAATACTGTGAATTTTACTAATAGAGTCATTATCATTACAGAGTTCTTGCTCTGTGCCAGGTACTGTTGTAAATGTTTTAAATTAGTTAAATGAACTAATGCTATAAGTTGCAGCCTGACATTTGACTCTAGTATTACACTTTTAAGACTGAATGCTGTCTCCTTTATTTATCATTTTATGGACTTGAGATACCAGTGTCTTCTACATTTCAGCACTGTGATGGCAATGCTATCAGAATTACTTCCTAGTGCTATGGTGTTGGTTTTTTTATTACTCTTCTTTTTCTTTTTGTCTCTTTTTAACACGCTAGCTCTGGGCAGCAACACAGCAACAGCAACAGCTCCATGCCCTGCCGTGAGGCTGGTATGGGCAGGACTCAAGCAGGTACCACCTGGTGCCTTTGGCACCCAGCAGTCAGACACCACAGTGGTAGAGGATGGGAAGGTGGGAGAGGGAGGAGAGCGGTGGAGCTGAAGAGGTGAGGGTGGTGAGGAACACACTAATGTGAATGACCTGCTTACCCCAGAGTCCAGGATGTCTGGGTCTGGGCTATTGCCAAGGGCCAGTCTTGGTCCAAGGCTGTGAAGCATCTGAGGGGACATGAGTTGATGTCTGTGGATCCTGTTGCCACTAGGGCCATGCAGAGGCCTGTGGTCTGGGCCACCACCTGGAGCCAGGTTCGTATCCAAGGGCCATACTGCACCCAGGCCCCAGCTGCTGCCAAGGACCACGTTGGGGTCCGTGATCCTACCACAGCCAGGGTCTGTGTTGATGTCCAGTGGCCCATAGTGCCACCAAAGGCCAAATGGTTGCCTATGATCTAGCCCACAAGCTATCACCATGTTGGTGTCTGAGGGCTGTTCCACTGCCAGGCCCATGCTAAGTTGAGTGGCCAGCACTGTCACCTGAGGCCATGCCATCATTCAGGCCAGGGCTGCTGCTAAGGGCCATGTCTGGGTCCATGGCCCTATAGCAGCATGGGTCTGAATTGATGTCCATAGCTCCTTATACCATTGAAGGCCATTCCGATGCCAGGGGTCTGGGTCTGGGCTACCACCTGGGGCAATGTTGGTGTCCAAGTGCCACAGGGGCCATGCCATACTAGATGGCTTGAGCTACCACCTAGCCCATGGTGACATCTGAGCCTGGGCTGTAGCCTAGCCCCATGCCTGGGTCCATTTTCCTGCCAAAACTGGGGTCTATATTAATGTCCATGGCCATGTTGCCACCAAAGGCAACATGGATGCCTGGGGTCTAGGCCACAAGCTGTGGTCATGTGAGTATCCAGGGGCCTAGTTGATGTCCGTGGCCTGTTACTGCTGAGGACCTTATGATGCTGGAGTCTGGTCAGTCACCAGAGACCATGTTAGTGTCCTTGGACCATGCTGCTGCCAGGGCCATACCACTCTGGGCGGCCTGTGCTGTCACCAGGGCCAGGGTGATGCCCTGGCCTGGGCTGCTTCCGAGGACCATGTGTAGGTCTATGGTCCTGCTGCAGCTGGGGTCTGTATTGATGACCATGACCTGTGTTGCCACCGGGGTCATAGGAACCAAGCCTATTGGAATCTGAGGGCTGGGCTGGGCTGGCCCCGCACCTCACTGGCCCTGGGATTGCTGGTCCTGCCCTTCACTGAATACTGCAGCATGAGAGCTGGTGCCCCCCACCCCATCCCTGCAACACACATACACAATCAGGAAAGATGGCCCACTCCTCACTATAGGTGTGCACCTCACCTGGTCAGGACACTACCAATCTAGAGAGAAGAGGGCACTGCCCCTTGCCTGCACAAGACAGTAGAGCTGGCCCTGGTGTAGTGAGTGTGGGTGAGCTGGGCCTGGTGTAGTGAGTGTGGGTGAGCTGGACCTGAAGGCCAGAGAGCAGGAGAACTGGCCCAGCTCCTTGCTGCAGGCTGCATTAGGTGGGCTGGCCTAGGCAGTGTAGGAGAGCTCACTGGTGGAGTATGTGAAAGGGACAAACCTACAGATCCAAAGCTGCAGGGTTCCCATGACCCATGACAACCACAGAAAATCCAAGAGAAGCCCCAGGGAGAGCCCATTATCAAGAGTGCAGCAGAAGCCAGAGGCCTCCAGCTAGACCAATGACTAGCAGCAATGAACACTTGCAAGTGAAGATGAGTGGACTAAAGGGTCCACTGTGTGCCTCAGCCGGCCACAGGACAGTTTCCATGATGGGATTCTTCCCCCTTTTGTGTTGCTCTTTGTTTTGTTTGTTGTTTTGGCTTGTTTTTTTGTTTTGTTTTGTTTTTGTTAATTTGGCTTTGTTTTGTTTGGCTTTTGGTTTTCCTTTCCAATTATGTTTTGTTTTGAGGGGGAGGTTGCAAGGGCAGAGAGCAGATGCAAGGAGTGGGAAGGGTGATGGGTGGGATCAGAATGCATGATGTGAAATCCACAAAGAATCAATAAAAGTTAAAAAAACAAATAAAACATTTTCACAAGTTTTTTTACTGTCAAATGTTAGTAAAGAATTGGACAACTGGAACCTTTTTTTTTCCCCTTTGGTTTTTCGAAACAGGGATTCTCTGTGTAGTTTTGGTGCCTGTCTTGGATCTCACTCTGTAGACCAGGCTGGCTTCGAACTCGCAGAGATCCACCTGGCCCAAGTGCTGGGATTAAAGGCATGCGCCACCACTATCTTGCAACAACTAGAACATTTATGCAGCAATAATGATGGTAGAAATTAACTAATTATAACAATTTGACATAATTTTGTAAAAATAACAAAAAATTAAATATTAGCATGTACTATGACCCAAAGATTCATGCCATAAAAAGAGGAATCCTGATATATGTGTTTCAAGGTATACCTAAAATTTCTCATAGCAGTATTGTTGTAACAAATGTAATAAAAGTAAATTATATAAATCCATGCTACAATATTAGGAAACATTTTAGCTAAGTGAGATGAACCCTTTTTATTTACTAATGCTGAATGAAATAACAAGTCACAGAACATTAGCCATAATGTAATTCTGTTTTTATCATGGTAAAAAGGAAAACAGCCTTTACACAAAAGATTTAGGAATAGATTTAGACATAAGGAACTTTCCATTTTTAAAGTACAGGAGTGTTTAACACACAAAAAAAAACATGGATAAGCTTGCATCTCTGTGCTCTCTGAGTATGCAAGAAGACATATGGATGTAGCTCCAGTGGTCACCTGGATTCTCAATTTAAATGGAAACATTTTAGCAGTTTGATGTATTATTCCATTGCATGTTATATGTGTCCTGTGTCAAATATTGCACAAAATAATTTTAGATATTAGAAATGATTGAAGAGTGACTAGTGTTTTCTCTTTTTTAATTAAAATCAATTTAATTTCATTTTTAGTTTGTTTTTAATTTAACAAAATGAATCTTTTATGTTTAAAAGTTTCATGGTTATATCCCTTGTAAGTGGTATTGTGTTTCATAAGGACATTTTCATACAGTTATATACTGTACATTGAGAATGTCCACTATAACATCTACTCTGCTCTCTCATTAGTTTTCTCTCTCTCTCTCTCTCTCTCTCTCTCTCTCTCTGTCCCTTGACTTGTTGAGAATTTTGTTCAATGTGTTTTAATCATATGCCACCCTCCAACCCTTCCCAGACCCATCCCCTTCCAACATACAACGATGTCCCACCAACTTTCTGGCCTTTGTTTTAACCCTTCAACAACAATCTGTGCTATGCGAAGTGTAGTAGTGTTTTCTCATCAGTAACGCCAGCCCAGAAATAATGACGTAGGGACTCTTAGATTAGGCTTGTTCCTAACTAGTTCTAATAACTTAAATTAATCCATATTTTTTAACCTATGTGCTTCCATGTGGGTCATTCCTCATCTCTGTACTGCCCATCCTGCGCCCTCCACATCTTTCTTCTTCCCAGAGTTCTCTCTGCCTGGAAGTCTGCCTGTTCTCTCCTGCCTAGCTATTGACCATTCAGCTCTTTATTAAACCAGTCACAGTGACACATCTTTACACAGACTAAAGAAATATTCCACAGCATTTCCCCCTTTTTGTCCAAATGGAAAGGAAAGGTTTTAACTCTAACACAGTAAAACTTTCTATAATAAAAACAATTTATCAGATAAGAATTTCATTCACAGTGTATTTTGATGTGCTGCTTTTCTTTGTTTTAAATATTCTCTTTGAAACACAAAATTGAATTCTTAAAAGACTTTTCCACTAAATAGATAATTTTATTTATCACATGGCACTTGCTATGTAAATAGGCAAAGAGGTTTTTTAAACACAGACTAGTGGTTCTTAATGCTCTAAGGGCTGATGCTATAAAGGGTGAGTGTTTCCTGGCAAGGTTTACATGTGTTTGTTTATTTTCAGTAAGTCAACATATATATGTTTGTTTGTTTATTTATTTATTACAGATAAATTATGTTATATATATATATATATAGTTAACATTTCAACTATATACAGAAGTAAAATACCTGTAATAGTCAGTACCACGCTGATAATCTGAGATATTAAAAAAGAATTTTTGCCTTAACTGTCATTAATTATGTAGGTGAGAGTTTTGTGAGCACTAACTGTTTTCATTGTGTTCAAAATAAGGTAATATACTTTATCAGTATAACAATGAGATGGCAACACGTGCCTACCTCAAAGATATTTTATTGAAAACACAATCATCACTTACCTTGTCACAAATAGAACAAAGCAAAACAGCACAAGCGGAGTTGCTGTTTGAACATCTCTAAGTAGCAACGTTTAAATTTTCTATGACTTCTTGGTGGATTGTACCATATGGCTTTGTCATAAGTCGACCTGTTGCTAATAAACTAGGACTGATGTGTAATTAGGTTTTCAGTGATTCATCTGTAAAACACGCTGGATTATTTTACATGGACGCATCTGGTACACATGTGTACAGTGGTTGTTCTGTGGTGATTGACAACTGTATTCTTCTCATAAAGTCCTAGATGCACAGATGTGAACTCTTGATTTCTTAGAGAGACAAAATGTTGCATTCATAAAGTTTGTACCTTAGCAATTGTTGAATGTAAAATTTATTCTTACACATGCATTCACACACAACACAAAATTTGCCCTGTTCCTGAAATTTAATGTAAACATTTCATGAAATGTTTTTCTATCGCTGAGCAGACACAGTGAAAGCACCTTGATCTTTTGGTATTCATTCGTAGCATGACATCTGTTTTGGATTGTAAGCTCAAAGAAGGCAGTGACCATGTCAGTTTTATATTATGCAGACAACATCCAGTAATGCATAATTCTCCTTTGAATGTTTGCTAAGTATTTGTCAGTCAAGATGGAGATGTTAATGACTTTTAAAAATAGCATTCATAATCTGGCTGTAAGCACCTTTTGCATTAAAGGGGCATTAGCAATATAAATGGT